AAACCTAGTACAGAAAGGCTCTGTAATATAATTACATAAGTTATTAATAAAACTATAAAATTTATTTATCTATAGCCTTTAGAAAAAAGTATTATAGCTAAAAAGTTTATGTTTAAACTAAAAAAAAATGTCTTAGCTACTTATAGTTACCTAGAAGTTATTATCTCTAACTAAGATAAGTTGTTTATAAGTAAGTACTAGACAGCTATAGTTAAACACTTAGAAATTAAATATAAACTCTCTATAGCCTATTACCTATAAATAAACAGACAAACAGAATAAGTAAACACAGAAGTAAAAAAGTATCTGCGTAAATATGTGTTATATAAACAAAATAATTAGGCAGAATAGCTACTAATAGCACAACTTATAATTAATACTATAAAGTTAGCTATAACTACGAAAACCTTGTACAAAGCTAATTTTAGATACTCTTTATAGTACAAGTTGCACAGCACGCAGCTAACAGACCTTCTAGAGGCTACAAGCTAGACAGCTAGACTTTTAGAATTGCATTAGAAACTAACTAAGAAAGCATAGTTAGCCTAGAATGCTATAAAAAAAGCAGCAAACTAGAAACAGCAATTAGTACCTAAAATACACCTAAACAACTATGTATACCTAGACATAAAGAATCTTAAGACACCTAGACTATCTAGAAAGCTTACTAAGAAACGCATAGGGCCTTACTAAGTTATATAAACGCGCCCTAGCATCTACAAACTTAAGCTACCTAAAGAAATGCAAATACATTCTTAGTTCTATGTCTCTAAGCTTAAACTAGCGCTTAAGAGTATACTACTAGCTACTAAAGAATTGAAAAAGAAAAAATAGAATATAAAATTAAATAAATCTTAGACTATTAAAGAAACAAGTACATAATTAAATAAAAAGAATAGCCTACTAGTAAAAGCACTAAGGAACTTATTAGAAGCCTATTAAACACCCCTTTAATTTTCTATAAATACTTAGCGTCTCTTCTAAGTAAAACTACCCTAGAAATAGCTTCTTAGACTAAAAAGCACTAACATTAGTTAAAGCTGCAGCAGCAGTAGCTAGCTGTAATGTAGAAGGCCTATAACCCTTTAACATTAGCTAAGAAGGTGGAAGGCTAGCAGCCTTTGCCTTAAGCGCTTTAAGCTTATCTAGAGTTAAGAGGTCTCTTTCTAAATATTTTACCCTTTAATCTACTAAAAGGTCTAGCTGCCTCTACGCCTGCTTTTAATAAGCAACAGAAGACTAAAGCTATATAAAGAACTTTTTTTGCTTTTCTAGAAACTTTTTTTTCTTATGCATTTTTTTTCTTAAGTAACTTTTAACTCTTGTAGAAGCCTTTTATGCTTCTATTCTAACTAATTCTAGGCTGCGTTAAAAATAAAGGCATTACAGCAGCTCTCTTTTTTTAAGCACTCTACATAGTTGTCTAATAATAAGGTTATTATATAAGAAGACCTGCTTAAACAGCATAGTCTACACAGACGCATCTTTAAATGTTGTAAAGGATTAAAGTAGGCTACAGTCTAAAGGCAACAGTAAGCAGCAGATACACGCTAACAGGGCATAGTTAGAAAAGATAGACATTTAGGAAGGCTTTATAAATAGACACGCACTAACTAAAAAAAAATCCTAATGTTTGCAGTAAAAAGAACATAACAGTAAGAACACTAACTAAAAAAGAAGCCTGCGTGTTATAGCTAATAAGTAGACTGTAATTCTCTAACTAGCTATACCCTACAGCTTAAGCAACATTAAATAGACAACACTTAACTCTTGTTAGATATGCGCACCTACTGTCAAGACAGGAGGAACGCTGGACAAAAGCTGCTACATAGTACAAGCAATAAGCTCGAACAGTATGTTGCTGCAAATTGCAGCATGTTGCAGCAAATTGCAGCACGTTGCAGCTAGTCGCGCACAAGGCTAGTGCGCGAGGGACTCGGACCGGAAAAACAAAAGCCGAGCAACACGAGCAGAGCAGAAAAAGGATCGATAAATTAATACAATCAATCATCATCCCATACATCATATCCAAACCCATCATTCATCTTAGGAAGCCTAGAAACAGTGCTTTAATCTAACAACTCTATATTAAATAGATTATGTAACAAACTAGATAAGAAATAGCTTTAGCTTTTAGACAGATGCATAGAGAAATGCGTTGTCTAATAAGAAAAGTATGTTAGCACGCTATGCGCGCAGTGCGCGTAGCGAGCGCAGCTACGCGCAAGGCGCGCACAACATGCACTGCATGCAAACCCTATGTATATAGTTTTAATTACAACTATAGTTAGAAGACTGTAATTACTGTTTAGTCTTTATACATAATAGACTAAGAAGCATTAATACCTTTATAAAAAGGACATTGCCGCTATATATATCTTGCACTATATATACCTTCTATCTTATCCTTTTAGATTAGTTTACTAGCTCTCTATACAGCTGCTAGGTTAAACCACAATCTGCCTTCCTTATTCCCGCCTTTCTATATACTCTGCTAGACGGACTGTACACCCGATCTAGCTAAGTCCTCCCCACGCTAAAACTCACTACAGGCTGTAGTGCTCTAGAAATTACCATTTCAACAGAGCAAGGATTGTAACACTAACGCTTTAGCTACTTTTTAGTTTTATATCTATAGGGCTTTAGAAGGCTTGTTAGATAGGATATTTGTTGTTTATTTAAATAACATTTTTATTTACTTTAAAAATAAAAAAGACTAAAAGTAATATATCTTTAAAGCTTTTAATTAACTAGTAAAATAAAAACTATACTATAAAGCATTTAAAATTTTTTTTAAAATAAAGGCTGTTAAGTTCTTAAGCTTTATAGTTACACTAAAAGGTGTAGTAATAGACTTATTATGTGTTTAAATAATTAAGAAATAGCCTAAGCTAAAAAGCTTTAAGAACATCTAAGAATTTCTAGGCTTTATAAACTTTTATTAAAGACTTGTTTATAATTACTTAGAAATTACACACCTACTAGTAGACTATATAATAGCTGCTTAAACTTTAAGTCTGCCTTATAAAGGCTCTAACTTAAAAAAAAAGAAGGTAAAGTAGAATTATAAAGGTTTTATAAAGTAGTACTAGAAATAGTTTTAGCTTAAAAAGGCTTATAACACTTTTTTAACTTTTAAGTTAAAATTTATAAATGCTTTAGTCTTTTAGCACTTTAATCTATTAAAGCTAGTTATAATTATTATAAACACTTTTAAGTTTAATATAGCAGTAATACTTTTTTAGCCTTAGTTCTCTAAGCTAGCAGTAAATTACTACTAAAGGCCTATAGCCTTCTAGAGCTGTAAGCTAAGCAGCTTATAACTCTATTAGCATACACATAATAAAAAGTTGTGCGTAATTATAAAGAGCTTTAAACATTAAAGGCACTACTTAGAGTACACTCTAAGTATAATCTAAGTACTCCTAAATTATAATAATCTATGCTATTTTATAATAATAAAGAAGCTCTTCTTTAAGCAAGCCTACTAGGCAGAAAAGCTAGCGTAGTTTAATTTTAAGATTAAATACAAGCTAGGTCTAAAGAACTTAGCTAACAGACTATCTAAAAGACCTAATTATATAAAAAAAGTCTTTATAAAAGAGGTAAAATTACTATAAGACATAGTACTTTTAACTTTATAGTAACGTACTTTACAGGCGAGTTGCTCACACACCTAAGTTGCTTACTTTTGCTAAGACCCTACTAAACTACCCTTTCTACACTAATGCATTCCTAACAACACTACTTAGACGCGCTAAAAGAACGTGAGATATAGTTTATACTCTAAACTTTTAAACAAGACACTAAACTCTTAAAGAAACGTGCTGTAGCTACGTACATAGTTCTATAAATAACAACAAATAACTATAGCGCTAGACAACCTTTACAAGCTAATTCTACAGCTAACTTATAAAGGCTATGCAATAAAAACAAGTAGGTGATTGTTAAGACTATACTTAAGCTATATGCGCAAGGATTTTCCCCTTAGATAGCATTTATAGCTAATATAGCTAATTCTTTGCGTGCTAAGCAAAATCTAGGCTATGTTAGCATAAACTAGCCTAGTACGTTTGTGAAGCGTTATTTAGAGCTTAAAGTAAAGTCTTAAGCGCAAGTATAGCTAATAGATGTTTAGCCTATTATAAAGCCTGTCTTGCTAAAGTTGTACGTGTTATCATCCTAGATGCTATGCTTAGCTTTAATATTCTCTACAAGGCTAAACCTGCCCTAAATTACCCTAGGACTCTTGCAGAGAGCTCTTTTATAGTTGTACTTACGCTTAAACATTACTTTAAGCTCTAAATAACGCTTCACAAACATACTAGGCTAGTTTATGCTAACATGGCCTAGATTTTGCTTAGCGCGCAAAGAATTAGCTATATTAGCCATAAATGCTATCTAAGGGGAAAATCCTTGCGCATATAGCTTAAGTATAGTCTTAACAATCACCTACTTGTTTTTATTGCATAGCCTTTATAAGTTAGCTGTAGAATTAGCTTGTAAAGGTTATCTAGCGCTGTAGTTATTTGTTGTTATTTATAGGACCCTGTACGTAGCTACAGCATGTTTCTTTAAAAGTTTTGTGTCTTATTTAAAAGTTTAGAGCATAAACTATATCTCACGTTCTTTTAGCGCGTCTAAGTGGTGTTGTTGGGAATGCATTAGTGTAGGAAGGGTAGTTTAGTGGGGTCTTGGCAAAAGTAAGCGACTCAGGTGTGTGAGCAACTCGCCCGTGAAGTACGTTAAAAGATTTAAGTGTAGATAATTTAAACATCTATAGCTTATTACACTAGTTAGGCAGCGTGTAGTATAGCTTCTTCTAATAGTAACCTAGCAAGGTCTCTTAATGCTGACTCTACTTAAGACGTGCTAGAAGCTGGACGTGTAGAGGCTAAAGGGGTAATGCTGATATCGCCGTTCATAGAGGTAGGTCTTTCATTGTCTAGTGCTCCTTAATCTAGCACCTGCTGTAGGGAAGACTGATAGTCTAGACATGCTCAGGTGGTTAGATGGCGTAGTCTGAGAGAGGCAAGATAGCTAGAGAAGGCTCTGTGGTAGAGCGGTAGAGCTTCCTTAAAGCGGTGTCGGTGATGTAGTAGATAGGCAAGGCAGTATACGCTGGTCAGCGTGTCGGGGTGGTCCTTCCCCAGCGCCTTCTCTCTCCCCTCCAGCGCTCGCCGGTTCATCGCCTCGGCCGCCTCGTACTTCCCCTGACGCTAAGCACTAACGCGAGTTTGCTCACGCTGGTCAGCGTCGAGGGGTGGTCCTTCCCTAGAACCACTTCTCTTGTCTTTAAGGCCCACAGAAATCGCAACCCATGGGAGTTCATTCTATGGTACAAGGATAACAATGCGACGTAGTCATTGGTTCAATGCAAGAGTGCCTAGCCGTGCTCGTGCTGTGAGGAAAAATACTTGTTATCTGTTTCTCTAATCACAAGCATGCTTCAGCTTTTATGCCTAGAAATTGCGATGCGGGATCAACCTCGAAGAAGATCTACTGACCTCAACCATCGTTCAATGAGTTCCCGTGTATCTTTCCCAAATATAAACAACAGGGATCCTTTTGGAACCAAGAGTGTTACAACGCGCGCAAGACACCCCCTCTCATGCACGCAAGTAGAGGCAGCATGTATGTCGCGACCAACCAACCATTATATATCAGAAACGTTCTCCTGTCTCCCTCCACCGTTCTCAAAGTAATCAACCTACCGACAACCACTATAGCCAACGAGCCAACCACATAGTATCCTATGCTACTAGCTTTCCAGTAGGTTGGACAGAAACCAGACCAGAACACCAGTGGGGCAATGATTGTGTAACGAGCAGTATGGTCTCCGAGCACTAGAGCTATCGTCAACCGGCCCGCAGCTTTGTCGCCCACCTGGTCATACAAATCCTGGATATGCACGGCGCTGAAGACTACCAGAGTGATGACTGTCAACCATTTGGTATCTTCGGCGTCAAAGGGTGAGTGTGATCGGATAGCTACCTGTAGTGCGCCGGCCGCAAACGATGTGAACCCGCACGCATTAAGCACATTTCGGCCCATCACTGTCGTGTCGCCGTAACGAAGATCGTTATCCGCGTAACTGAACACCGCAAGCAGTGACGATGGTGCTAACCCGCCCCCAACGATGCAGCTAACAATTGCAGTGATTGGGTGCACCACTCGAGCCAAGAGTGAGGCTTGGTAAAGCGTAAGACGATGGGAAGGTAACGGCCTCCAAGACTTGTTGAGTTCGTCTTCTTGTATAGCATGGGGGAGCCTCTGGTTGTTGACATTGAAAGCCAGACAGTTCATCCATGCCCAGAGTAGGATCGAGGGGATGCGCCGCGCGAGATAATCGATGACCGTGTTTGGATCGTCGTCCGAACGTGAGAGTGATTCAGCGAAAGAATAGAGGAGAGCAAACGCTGTGCTTGGGAAAACCATGGTCTTCAGATCGCTATATGTAAATAGCCACAAAGAAGTACTCAAAAGTGTTGCCCGAGATCATCGTGCGGACTTAGATCAGACATTTGAGGCATCGAGGCCGCAGGTTCAGGTTGGCGGGATGCGCAGCGGTCCGATGTTAGCACCTGTGCCGCTCCTCGGCATTCTCCAACTCTTGCCCCGGAGCGAAATACGTTCAGTTCGATGGAGGGCACACAGACAAATTTTAGCGCGGAGTCTTCGACTGTGCCACAGGTGATATATTGATTTGGCCCCTTACCCTCAGCTTTGACAGGGGTGTCTTGAGTTAAAATGACCCCTAAGCGGCACGTCTCGTGGACACTTTGCCAGGACTCTTGTTCTTCTCATCTCTTCAACTTTCAGTTTTCTGAACCGAAAGCATGATGGGTTTCCGCTTCTTCTTATTCATTACGCGCAAACCTACGTTGACTCCCACTGAGTTTATGACCCATTGGGACACTAAGCATGTGGAGCTCCTGAAGAACATCACTGGCGAGGACTTTCCAATTAGCCATACTCGTCACTACATTGCCCGACCGACGGAGCAGAACGGGACTTGGCCAGCCGCAGTTCTCATCGGTGGCCAAGAGGATTTCTCTTACGACGGCATCGCCGAGCTCGTCTTTGAGAATGAGCAGGCTTTCCAAACCTTCTATGCGAAAGTTTCGGATCCCGAGGCTGCAGCCAAGATTGCCGCTGATGAAGAAACATTTATCGTGAGGGAGGCAATGAAAGCGGTTGTGAAAGCCGATACCTCAGTATCTCTCCGCAAGTGATATCTTACTAGTAAGTGCATGTCTCTCTAAACTACAGGTCGGAGACTAACCGGTCTCAGAATTACTTTCTGGCTGCAATATCCACTGTGCCGAATTGGACTGTCTAATCGCTTGTCACTTGTTGCTGGAAAAATGAATATGAAAATGACTTCACCGTGAGTGAGTGTACTGTCTAGGAGTTGGCCTAGATGGGGCAAGTGGAAAGCTTCTTCGGCACCAAAACCACCTGTATTCCCTTCTTTCTATCTCACGCCTCTCAAATCGAGACTCTCATTATTATACATTGTGTTTCTCATTGTGTTTCATTGTGTTCACTTTGGGGTGAGGGGCCTAGGAATCGAACCTAGGGTGGGCAGGGGTAGGCGAGGGCAGCGGGGTAACCCCACCACACTCACCACCTCATACCACTCGGCCACACCCCCCACTTGTTGCTGGAGGAGCTTCACTTCCGTAAGCTGACGGGAGATCACATAGTCACAGAAAACTGGGCCTTTAGCAGCTCTTGACTATAGCAAATTACACTTGTTCGGTCCAAAGTAGACTTAAAGTTAAAAAAAAAAAATAACTAGTTTTAAGCTCTTAGTGTGCTTAGCAAACTCTATAACATTATTATACACACTTAAAGCTTACTAGGTTGTATAAAAGACTTTATTACTTTTACTTATAAAAAAGTTCTACCTACTAATTATACAAGATAGAATAGATAGCACTAAATAATTAAATTACTTTAGAATAAGAATTAAATTTATATAATTAAATTATTAAAAACTTTAATAAGTTTACTTAACTTTACAGCTAAAATAAATATATTAACTATATTAGTAATTTTTTAAGTTCGATTAGGAAGCTCTTTACTCTTTAATAGAAGTGTTACAAGCAATAACGTGTATAATAGCCCTAGCTATTACTATTAGCAATTAATATTCTATTAATTCTAGTAATAAGCAATAAACCTAAATAATTCTTTTTAGAAGCATATTATATAGTCTTATAAAAGAGGATGCGAATAGGTGCTAAAAGTTTTAATAGAGTAGAGTGTAAAACAGTAGCAGTAAACTAGACTCTTACTTAAGAAAACTTAACTTATTTTTATATAAAGCTTTTAATTTAAAACTATACACATTCTAGCTTGTCTAGTTTTATTATATAAGTAACAACTACTTAGCTTACACAGTATGTTAAGCTATAGAGTATGTGTAAGTGCTAGCAACACTCTTAACTAGCTAGGTATGTGCAGGTTGCTGCTAATAATTCTAACAGCTAGGTTTATACTAATTTATGTAAGAAAAAGCTTGTACGTACCTATATAATAACAATTGCATTCTAGGCGTTGTCCTCTAGCTAGTTATCCTTAATTAGAATTAGTGCTGCTGCATTACTATTAACGCTAGCAATGCTAACCTCTGCTAGTAGCAAGCGCAGAGGTCTACTGTTATTCTTACCTTGTATAGAGTAGTAGACAGCATAGTTATTGTAAAAAACAGGGTATACACTTCGCAATCAAGAGGTGTATTGACCAACAAGGGCGTGACTGTGACATAGGAGTACGATTAATACCTGCCTAATTCCTAAGGCAATCCTCTGCTATCTAAAGAGGGCTTCTACAACTGGCTATATACTTCTCTAGAGAGCCAGGCACGGCAGCGCTAGTAGCGACAGATCTAGTATGCTGTAGGTCCAGTTTAAAGTATTACCTGTCTAGGATGCCTGGCTTTTTAGGCGAGGTAGGCATTGTTTAGGAAGTGCGGGGTTAACAGCACAGTTTAGGAGTTGTCTAGGACTGCCTAGTGCAGTCTAGGCTAGTCTACAACAGCCTAGGAAACACCTAGATAGCTAGTTATTATAAAGCCTTATTTTTTTCTAAGGCGTAACCTTGCGCTTAAATCTAAGCCCTTTTTTAAAGTTTAGAAGTTATGTAATTTTATGTTACTTTAAATTTAATTTAAGAGGTTAAATACTTTTTACTAAGCTAAATTCTTTATTACACCTACACTCTACTCTGCGCTTCTAGTACGTATTTTAGAGAGATTTTCTGCAGGAGCCCTTAGGCCTTCCTAGGGGTTCCTAGGGTGTTCTAGGGCCCCCTAGGCCAGAGGACCCTATATAAAGCTCTGTTTGTCCTAGAGAGTCTCTATTCTAACTGCCTTTAGATTTTTTTTTAGCTAGCTACTCTAGCTAGCTATCCCCTGTTTTATTTTTAAAGCCTCTAGTCCTGTCTATTCTAATCTAGGCCCCTCTAGGCCCTCTAAGCCCTGTCTTGCATATTTTACTACTAATAATGTCTTTTTTAGCTAGTAAGCAGTTAGATAGGATTACCTTAGCTATAAATAAAGCTCTAGCTACTATTAATCTCTACTTAACTTACCTTAATAAGATTATAGGCAGGATTATAGCGTATAAGCTAGGTGTAATTCTACTATGCTATTTTCTTATTAAGGAGAATTGCAACATCTAGACTTATAATACTTATATTTATTAAAGCTTGTTAGAGCTTAAGCGCACTAATAACCTCTTAAAGTGCAATAGCTGCTATAAAGGTGGCAAAGACTACTATTAAGTAGGTTATCTTAAGGCTGTTTATAGCTGTCTAGGGGTTCTTAGAGTGCTTCTAAGTTCTTTTTACTAATTCTTAAGTTATAGTGCTTAGAAGACTGTTACCTAGTAATTATAACTATTATAAGCACTATCTTTAGTAGTTTTTTTTAGCTTAAGACCTAAATTAACCTTAGTAATACTTAAAAGTACTTGCTAAATGTTATTAAAAGTCTTTATAAAAAGGTTAATAAGGTTATTATTTATTTTAATAAGTTTATAATTTTTAGCTACTTTTTAAACTTTTTTAGGTTTCTCTAGGGGTCTCTAGAGCTTTTTAGAGGTTTTTAGACTAATTCTTACTAGGCTTGTCTATAGTAAGATAGCTAGTAACACTCTAACCCTTCTTTATATTAGCAAGAAGGTGTTTAGGGACTTAGGTATTATTAGTCTTAGCAAGGTAAAAAAAAAAGCATTAGTAAAGTGTAAAAAGAGAATAAGTAATTGTGGAGGATAAAATAGCCTGGCAGTAGCTGTTCAGAAGATCGGATGAAGTGACTCTGCTATCTAAGAGAGCTGAAGGCTCTCCTTATATACACCGAGCTTCGGAACATAATATCTCCAGATCCCGAGCTGCGTCCCAGGCTCCGAGCCCCAGTCCCAGGCTCTGAGCCCCAGCCAAGGCTCTCAGTATACGCGACACACCCCCCAGGTGAGCTGCGCAGCAGCTCACCTGCGTTGAGCGTCAACTTGGCTTGTTGGAGCAGCGCTGCGCGTTTACCCTGTGTTTGTGCTCGTTGCCCCAGGCAGCGCGATGATCGTTTCCCTAGGCAGCACAGGTCACGTGCGTGCCGTGATCGCCGCAACAGAGGTAAATAAATTCTGCTGCTCCTCGAGCTTCTCTTCTGTAAGTCCCAACAACATGCCGCGTGTAAGTTAATGCTTTTGAGAGCTCCAAGAACAACTCCAAACCTGTCTGCGATCTCCGCTAACGTGTGTATGAAGCTCAATAAAGCTAAACGAGCCGCTCGCGCGCGTGCCCTGCGGGGCCGCGCTGCCCGCAAGCCCGCAGCCCCCCGCCGCCCTGCGCCTACCACCGCCCGCCGCCCTGCGCCCACCACCCCCCGTCGGCCCGCGCCCCCCGGTCCGGTCTCGACTCCTCGCCGGCCTCCCCCTGGTGCGCTCCGCGCGCAGTCCTGTCTGGGCTGCATAAAGAGTGCGCTCGCGGGGCGCTCCAGTGGGGAGTGCCATGATTCCGCCACTGGCGGTTCGCGCTGCTGGCGCTGTTCCTCCGGGCACAGCTGCCTGCCCCTATAAGCCCTGTAGCAGTGTGTGGGGTGATCTAGCTTTTTGACTTATTTGCAGTCCCCCCGTCGCCGTCGTCTATGCGCGGCGCCTTGTTGCGGCGCTCGTCGCGGAGGACGAGCGGGTAAGCTTCTCCGCAGAGATCGTGTGTCATACCCTAGATCAGACTAACAGGCTATAGGCTGCGTCCCGGCTTCGGCCGGTGGTTCGAGCTCTGCTCGAAGAAGATGTCGTGGAGGAGGTGGTGGAGGAGGAGGAAGAGGAGGAGGAAGAGGAGGTGGAAGAGGAGGTGGAGGAGGTGGAGGAGGAGGAGCAGGGTGTCGTCTCCCCTGGGCTCCTGGCGCGTCGCCAGCGCGCTAAGGAGCTCTTGGGTGAGCTCGTCGATCTCCTCATGGTTTAGGCGTTCTGTGTTTTCTGTGTTTTCGCGCATCTCATGTATCAAATCCCTGCTCAAACTCCATGGCATGGGGGAGTGTCCCTGCTGGTAGATAGAACTCTTGTTCCTAGGCGGTGTGGGGATGTCCCCGCCATCAATGATCAACGCTTTCTCCCCTCAGAAGCTCGTTCGCGTGTCTTTAAGGTTGAGAAGCTGCTTAAAGTGCTCGAATTGCTGCCTTGGCAGGTGCTTTGTAAGCCCATCTGCTAGCATGTCGCTTGTTTTGATATAGCGCACTTCGAAAGATCCCTTCGCGTGCTCCTGGCGCAGCCACATGTTCTGAATATCGACGTGGCGCAGGCAGGTGGTTATCCGGGCGTTCTCCTCTACTACTAACCTGATCGTCTGCTGGTTGTCACAGTAGATCTGCCACGGTGTGCCTAGCTCCAGGGTAAGCTCTTTGAAGAAGCGTTTCAGAGCTAGCGATTCCTTTGCAATGTGCGCTAGAGCAAGCAGCTCAGCCTCCGTCGTAGACGTAGTTACTGTCGGCTGGAGAGCTGCTTTCCATAGGATCGGTCCTCCAAAGAGCGAGATAATGTATCCATGGGATGATCGTCTGGTCTCTGCGTGATCGGCAAAAGACGCGTCTCCACACATGATGAGTTGCGCGCCTTCCAGTGCTCCATACTGTATGCCTGTATGCCTTGTGCGGTACAGGTACACGATCGCCCGGTTCACTGCCTGGAAGTGCTGCTTTCCTGGGTTTGTCAGGTAGTGGGAGAGCTGGGATGCCGCGAACGCCACGTCCGGGCGCACCATGATCGCGGTGTATAGTGTTGATCCCACGCGCTCTTGGTATTCCTTGATTTCCTGCTTCGTTGCTGATCCCTGGTTGCTCGTGAGCTCTTCCGATGGTAGGGGAGTCCCTGGGAAGAGCGCGCTCTCTGCAAGGTTGAACTTCTTCGCTACTTTCTCAATATACGCGTCGTGTACTAGCTGGATCGTCCTAGCCTTTCTGTTCCTGATCATTTTGATCCCTAGAAACCATTCGCACGGCCCTCGATCTTCTAGCTCGTACATTTCCTTGATCGCACTGATCAATCGGTGAGCTTCCAACTCATCGTCGCGGTGATAGATGTGGAGTATGTCGTCTACATAGAAGAGAAGCAAGATACGGCGATCGCGGTCAAAGAATAGGCACGGCTCCTCTTTGGATGAGATGAGGTTGAGCTTCTGAAGAGACTGCGAGAGCTCCTGGTACCACAAGATCGGCGAGTCGCGCAGTCCGTATAGGGCTCGGAGAAGCTTGACGCACATGCCAGGCTTCGTGAAGCCTTCTGGGAGCTCGCATGTCACTTCTGGCTTGCCTTCGCGGTGCGCGTTCAGGAACGCGCCTATGACATCGTATTGCCTGATCTCTAGGTCAAATTGAGCTGCTATCGCTATTGCCGTTCGGAAGGATCTGGCTGCGAGAGTGGCAGCATAGGTTGACTGGAGCGAGTCCTTGCTCTGGAGATCACCGCGTACGCAAATGCGAGCTTTGCATTTAGCAAAATACCCATCCTGGTCAAATTTGTACGTGAATACCCACTTCAGTGGGAGCGGCTTAGACGTTGCTTCAGATCGCATGATCTCTTTCCAAGTGCCTTTCTCAAGCAGGGTAGCTATCTCTTTCTGTGCTGCGATCTTGAAAAGATCTCCGTATGGGTGTTTGTGTAGATCTCTCCATTTCGAGGGTTCCTTTGGGAGCTCATGAGCTCTTGGTCGAGGCTGCCTGAAGAAGGCAGCTGCGGAAAACACTGCGTGGAGCGTTTTGAGCGCTCTGTCGTTGTGAGCAATAAATGCTCCAAGGAAGTTTATTTGGAGGTGCTCTGGATCAACTGGAGCTAGGCGTATGCTGCTCCTCTCCGAGAGCGTCGTATATATACCTCCGCTTCCTGCACCCCCAGGCTCACCCGGGTCATCAGGATCTTGCCTCCGTATTCTTCGGCTTATGCGTGTGGCTGGTCCCCAGCTCTTTTTGTTGTACGCACGTTTGGGGGGTGCCTCACCTGCTTCGACTGGAGCCACAGAAGACGATGTCCCAGCGCGAGAGGCAGGGGTCGATTTTTCGACCGGCGAGTCGGCTGTTTGACTCAACGAGCCCGGTGGATCCGCTTCTCCGGTTAAGTGCACTTGCCGGGGATCACCAGTATGCTCGTGCCTACCCTGTATAGGGCGTGTCGTAGAGCTATCCGCGAGCTCTGGCTCGGGAGTCGGCTCTGGGGTAATGAGTGCCATACGTTCATCAGGAACCGCGCGAATCCTCGGCGACTTGCTTGTCGTGCTCGTCACCCGCGCAGTTGCTTCCACCTCCGAGTGCTGATCCTCTGGCTGGCCGACCCGAGTTCCAACAAGCTCTTCGGTTTCCGCACCCCCGAGCTCGCGCTCTTGGGGCCTCTGATTCGGTATATTACTCTGCTGCTCATCTGACCTTTGAGGTAGAAGCTCGAAGGCTTCTCCTGCATCACGGATCTCACCCTGCTCGTTGAGAATTTCGACGATCTTAGAGGCTTCTTCCCGGGGGATCGGCTTGTCACCCCCGTCCTCGTGGAAGCGTGTCTCATCGAAAGCTACGTTTCTCGTGGTGATCACCTGGTCGAGCGACGGGACCCATATTCTGTAGATATTCGAGGCTCTGTAGCCCACAAGATATCCTATGTGGCCCCGTGGAGTCACTTTGAAGCTTCGCTTCTGACGCCCGGCTGCTCGCTCCCTGTTGAGTGGGTAGGCGCGACAGCCGTATGCGTAGATCCCGCTCCAATCGGGTCTTAGATCAGCCGTAGCACTCCTCACCTGCTCTGGCTCGTAGTATCTGAAGTAGTTGGTGAACCACGCGTCCAAGACTTCATTTGGTGAGCGTAGGTTGTGTGCGTGCGACGGGCTCATATTGTACAGCCATGTCGCTGCGTCTACTACTTCCGGCCAGAGCTTCTCGGGGAGTCCTGCGCTGCTCCTCATCTTGATAGACTTCGTGATTATCTCTTGTCCAGCTCTTTCTGCGGCTCCATTTGGCTCATGAGTGTATGGTGGAGAGCTCTCAATATCAATGCCGGATTCCTCTGCCCAGAGCTCATACCTTGACTTCCCATGCCAAGGGAGCGTGGCAGCGTCGTTGTCTTGCTGTATTTTGCTGATCCGGAGCTTGTATTGATTGGACACCATGCTCTTGAAGTTCTCCATTACTCTCTGGATTTCCGAGAGCGTTTTCGCCTGGAGAGAGTACGAAAAGATTTTGCCGCTGTATTCGTCCTTGACGATCATCATCCATAGAGCTCCGCTGCGCCCTAATGGCATATCGAACATGTCCCATGCGATTCTCCAGAATGGGCGGGGAGCTCGCTCTTTTGGTCTTCTCGATATGACCTGCTTGGCGTGTGTTGTTGCGCAGTGCTCACAGCGTACTCGCTCTGTACCCGTTATTCGTACGTTCCTCGCGCTTTTGACCAGAGCCCGCAGAGCTTTGGGGCCTAGGTGTCCTGCGCGCGCATGCCAGAGCTCTTCTGAGTCTGA